GGCAAGGTTGGGATTCTAACGGAAGTCATCTTTATTTGGAGAGTCATTTTCTTAAAACTCTTCTGGAGCACCCCAAGTCCATTTAACCCTGGATCAATCTCTGTGGAAGGTCATGAGCTGAAGAAAAGTGTCCTCCCAGACCTCAGGAAGTTTCCGGTCAAAATAGTCAAAGAGCCAGCTACAATGGGTACCCAAACTCTCTTCTGCTCCCAGCCTCTCCCTATGCACCTTAAAGCACCATCCTCTGGACCTCCCAGGTTGAAATCCCATCTCTGGTCCAGCCCTTTCCCTGGGGCTACTGGCTTCATCTCCCTTCAGACCCTGCACAGAATCCTGCATGTTCCTCATGTTCTACTACAATGGATATTTAGGAGAAAAAATAGATCTTCTTAGCTTTTTTTTTAATTATGAAAGAAATGTATGCTTTGAGCAAACACTCGAACAATAGGACAAAGTATAAAGTACAGAATGAAAGTTAACCTCACTCTTCACTCCCTTTCACTCTCTCCTATGGCAGGGTGACTGCTAGTCCTTAGAGCACACTGTGAAAATCACACCCCTTCCTCCACACGGATGCAAAAATACTCAGCAAAATAGCAAACTGATCCTGTACTTTAAAAAGGTGAATACAGCATAATCAAGGGGAGTTAATTCCAGGAACACAAGATTGGTTTAACATCTGAAAATCAATCAGTGTAATTCACCATATTAAGAAAGAAGAGGAAAGGGGCGCCTGGGTGGCTTAGTCGGTTAAGCGTCCGACTTTCGCTCAGGTCATGATCTCGCGGTTCGGGTTCGAGCCCCGCGTCGGGCTCTGTGCTGACTGCCAGCTCAGAGCCTGGAGCCTGTTTCAGTCTGTGACTCCCTCTCTCTCTGACCCTCCCCTGCTCACACTGTCTCTCTCTCTCTCTCCTAGAAATAAATAAAACATAAAAAAAAAAATTAAAAAAAAAAGAAAGAAGAGGAAAAATTATATGATCATTTGAAAAATTTCAAAAAGTACTTAGCAAAATTCAACTCTCATTCAAGATTAAAAAAAAAACCCTACATTTAATATTATAGATAATGGGAACAAATAAATGCTTCCCTATAAGATTGGGCACAAGGTAAAAATGTGTGCTTTGCTATTCTATTCAACATTAAACTGTTGTACTGAAGGTTCTAGCCATTGCAATGAAGCAAGATAAAGAAACAATACCAAACTACCTGAAAAAAAGGAGACAAAATCATCTTTATTCATAGACAACATAACTGTGTTATGTGTTATCTAAAATCTTAAGGAATCTACAAAAAGCCACTAGAACTAATATATGAATTTAGCAAAGTCAGGGTCAATGTATTTTTTATTGTATATCTGTATACAAGCAACAAATAATAAATATAGAAGTTTAAATGTCATCTGCAATAGCATCAAAACATGAAATCCTTGGGGATAAATGTAACAAAATATGTGTAAGACCCATACCCTGAAAACCACAAATCATTGCTGAGGAAAATTGAAGAAAATATATTAATCATGTGTTTTATTATGTTTCAACATCTGCAGGCTGAGAGCCTGTTTTCCTGGGCTTGGCCCAGAGCAAGTCTTTCATATGCAAACCAACCAGTCCTGAGTCCATACCTTCTACCTTATCAAACTCTCACATCCCTGAGCCAACATTTCCTTGCCCTAAATCATCCCAGGGCCAGATACCAGGGAGAGAGAGACCACCATGATGCCCCAAAGCCCACAGGAGTCCTTCAAACTAGCAAGTCCTAAACTGTTTAATCTGCCCTGCCTTGCCTTCCACATGGAAACTGCGATCCCATGGCCTTGACTTTCCCTTCATTCCTTTCTGCCTCCTGACTGACACCGGTGATTTCCCCTGTGACCCTATGTGGCCTGCAGTGACTCCGCCTCTGAGACCTGGGAGTATAATAGACCTCTTCCTTCCAAGCTCCAGTCTTGACACCTCCCTGCCTAGTGGGAGGGAGGCCAGCTCAACAGCACAGATGTGACTCTTTTCTCCTGAGCTAGAGAGACAGGCAGAGATCGTCTCATTTTATCTCCTTGGAAGGAGAAACGACTAATCCAATATTGCATAGCAATTCCCCCAAGGTGAAGATCAGCATTTAAGTCTCCCAACTCTTGGTAACAGGCCTTCCCTCCTCAGAGCAAGTAGGAGCATCAGTGTCCCACTCAAGCGAGCTTTCTGGAACAGGTGAGCTGTCCAAGGACTGTTGTTTGAGTGGACAGGAAAGAAAGAGTGCGGCAAAGGGGCAAAACAAGGAAAGAGGTTCACCTAAATTGATATGAGGACTCATGGGTAGAGAAAGGGAGGGAACCACAGGAGGTAGGGTGTCCTAAATTTTCTGCCACATCATCAGGATGTAAATATTTAGCCCAGTTCCCTATGGAAATAGAGCTCATAAAACCCTCTGCCAGTGCCCATCTCCGTTTTGAAGCCCAGAACCTGACAAGTTAGCTACCAGACCTGATGGAAGGCGGTCAGAGGCCCTGGTAGGAGGGGTGTGACCCAGATTCTAGACCCTCCTAGACACTAGACTCTCCTAGATTCTCTCTTCCTGTGACACTTAGGAGGAAAAGAGAATCTGTCCCCCAAAGTTGATCCCTCATTCCATTACCTGCTTAGAGCCAGACTTCTTTCAGGCTTCAGACCTGTGTCCCTCTGAGCTCATCTATATGGCTCATTTTGCTGTTGGAGTCCAAACGAAAGTCACCTGTGTCTGAGCGGATCTGAAAAGAAGGGCTGCATCTCAGGTAGAGTAGAAGTGAGGAGAGGGAACCATAGGAAGGGTCGGAAACCCAGAGCACCAGTAATCTGAGCAATTAAGGTAGTTGGGAATAAAAGCTGCCACCTTACCTGCCTCCTCTCCTTTCCCCTCTGAAAGTTATCAGAACAGCTCACCATTCCCCAAGTCTTTAGACAGTACATGAACTGGGAAGCAGAGGCCAAGCCTCTATGCCCGCTCTGGACTTAATCTGTTTCCTTATCTAAATTGAGAGTGCAGAATCACGGATGTTAAAGCTCCTTTCCAGCCCTAAATGCATGGGACACTAGATGCTGTCTGGGGCCATGTTCATGTCTGCATAGTAAATACACCCTAAAACAGCCACGCCCCTCACATTGCTCCTTCCTGGCAGGCACGCCCACCTCCACACACACCACTCCCAGGGGAGCTCTCACAGTCCTTCTCCAAGCAGCACATCAGCCCTGACTGGTCATCCTCACGTATTATCACCTTGCCCCCATCAGCCTTCAGAACTCTTCCAGTCTTGAACCGTCAAACCTGGGACCAGCTGGTCTGGGATCAGGAAAAGCCATCTATTCTCTATGAATGCCTCCGCTACGATGCTCAAAGCCATCTCAACAGCCTCTAGGGATGCGGAAGAGTCTCACAAACTCAACTTAAGCCTCACCAAGGCCTTGGAGCTAACCTTAAATGTTAAATGAAACGTTTTGGAGCTAACGTTAAATGAAAGAGAAAAGAATTCCCCCAGGATTTTGTTTTTATCTGAGTTATTTTAAGCCACATCTGCTACATCTGAATTACCCACACACATATCCCAACCTGATCCAGTCAAATCCACCAATGCCCACTTTGGCCGCCCTGGCTAGTCTAATACCAACCCCAAAAGCCCAGCCCTTCCTGAGTTCCCAGGAAGCTCTAGTCAGATGACAAAGCCTTTGTGGGGAAGAGGCTGAAATCCTCTTCACTACCACAGGAGAAGGCTGCCCTGACTGGGGTGTCCAGGGCAAGGGGATCCCAGAGGGCTGTTGCCTGGGGAGGAAGAAAAGGACCCATTATCTGCTGAATGTGTTAGAGAACTTCTCTGACGGTAGTGGAGAAATGTTCTGTGAAAAATGGCATTTTTTTGTTCTGGAGATCACTTTATAGCACTCCAGAGACTTCCCCAGATCCTCTCCTTCAGCCTTTGTTGAGAACTCCTGCTGGGGACTTAGGGCTGGGTACTGGGTATGTAGAGCGCCTGGTGACCTAGGTTGAGCTAAGGAAATACTAATTCTGCCTTCAGTTCAGAGCTGCACAGACTGGATGGAACTCAGGGTGGAGGTCAGTTACTTTGCCCCGAGGAGAAAGGACCTCAGCTCGGAGCTCTTGTCAGAAGGGAGGTTGGGGGGAAGAGGGGGAACATCTGTGGGAAAATGCTCCTTAAGAAGAGTGGCTTTTTCTGGGAAAGAGAATTTTCCACAAATCCCCCTGTCACCTTCCTAGCACTAACCCAGTCCCCAGATCTGGCAAATTCTTTTCTAAGAACCTCACAGCCACCCCCTGGCTCCAGGGCCAGCCCCTCTAGTCTCTGTTCTTCAAAGACTTCCAGAAAAAACAACAACAACAAAAACCAAAAAACCACCCTTGGCTTCTCCCAGCCACACTGCCTCAGGGCAACATGTCCCTACTCCAGAAAGCCTCTCTTTTATCATTTCCCAATCTCTCCATTTTCTGGTGTCTTAAATTAGACAGCGGTGAGTAATAGCTCCTGGCTACCCATTTCTGCCAAGGCTCAGCATTAAACACACATCACATGTTATAAATTGCAGGTGAAGTTTATTGTGCAGACACCAAGACCACAGAACATTCAATGCAGAGCCAACAAGACTGGCTATATACACAGAAATATGCTTCCCCTGGGGGCGGGGCCAGGAGAAAGACAGAAAGGCTTTGAGATGGGGCCCTCGACAGAGTAGTCCCCAGGAGGTGGACCACGGAATGGGCCAATGCAAGGAGGGGCCGGGAAAGGGGGCGTGGCTGGAAAGTACAAGCCTGGGCAATGCAGAGTCTTCCCTAGGGGACAGACCGTGGCACGGGCTCCAACAAACTGGTTGGGAGAGAAGATATTTCAAAAACTGTAAGTGGGCATCCCTTTCCCCCAAAATGCCACCAGGGGTGGAGGACAAGGTTTGACTTGCTGCCAGTGGGACATATAGAGGCAAGCTTCTGCATTCTAAAGCAGCAGAATCAAGAGGGGATCTCCATCCTTATCTGAAAGAGAAGGTCACGCTAGAACCGTAACCTTCACCTGAGCCAGATCCACCCTTTTCAGAGCTGGAGCCCCCTCTGGAGCGCCCCCCAGAGCCATAGTCCCCTCCACTGCCCCCTCTGGAGCTCCCCCCAGAGCCAGAGCCCCCTCTGGAGCCCCCTCCGGAGCCATAGCCCCCTCCACTACCCCCTCTGGAGCCCCCTCCGGAGCCATAGCCCCCTCCACTGCCCCCTCTGGAGCCCCCTCCAGAGCCATAGCCCCCTCCACTGCCCCCTCTGGAGCTTGATCCTCTGCCCCCAGAGCTGTAACTGCCACTTCCAGAGCTGTATCCTCCTCCTCCAGAACCGGATCCTCTACCTCCAGAGCCAAAGCCACCCCTGGATGTCATGCTTGAAGACACGGTGCTGCTTGTCACAGCTGCAGGGAGAGACGATAGCCCCGTGGAGATCCTGAGTGCCCCGACATCCTCCCCACCGACACCACCCACGGGGCAGGAACATCTCCACTACTTACACACAGTCACGTTGCTACTGAGGTCTCCGGACATCCTGTGAGGAAGAGAAAAAGTAGCTCATGGCGGAGCCCTAGGGGCCTGTAGATGTGTTGTTCTACAGCCCCCACCTGCAGACGTGCACCCCGACGGTCAGCCACCAGGGCGTCCAGGGCCCGCCCTCTTCTGTGCTGCCGGATCACGGAGATGTGAGGCCCCACATTTCCACACAGCATAATTCATCTCAATTTTTTTGCTCTGATAAAAATGATCAGAAAGCAAATTCCCAGGGCGCCTGGGTGGCTCAGTCTGATAAGAGTCCGACCTCGGCTCAGGTCATGATCTCACGGCTCGTGAGTTCAAGCCCTGTGTTGGGCTCTGTGCTGACGGCTCAGAGCCTGGAGCCTGCTTCGGATGCTGTGTGTGTCTCTCTCTGCCCCTCCCTCACTCTCTCTTATTCTTACTCTCTCTCTCAAAAATAAATAAACATTTAAAAAATTTTTTTTGAAGAAAGCAAATTCTCTTCTGATTTGCAACCCATGTTTCTATTTAAATCCATTTGAGGGAGTTTGCTATTCAGAATCCAAACCACTCTAGAAATTTTGGAATGAGGTTGCACTGTGAACATTCAATTCTGAAAGAACTGTAACTCTGTACGGCCTCCCTCTGCTCCCCTCCTGCCTCGCCCTCCTCTGCTTCATCTGAAATCTGTCCCACTTCTTGCAAGCACGGCCTCAAAGACAGGTACAGAGCAAAGTGACTCCTTCCCCGTCACACTGACTTGCTGGTGGCCTGGGGCAGCTTGTCCCTTTCTAGGTGCTTCAGCCAGATGAAATCACTGGGGATGCCTTTGATACTGACAGAGGGCTCAGACAGCTGTCTTCAAACAGAGGAAGGAAAAGTTCCCTTTGGCGAGTTAGCAAAGGGCTCAGTTTGTCCCTCCAGAAATCTGCAAAGAGCGGGTCTGGCACCTGCTGCCCCGGGGTGGGGGGCGGGGGGCCAGTCATGCCTCAGCCAGTCAGCATGTTCCAGCACGTGATCCCCCTGTTCTGGGTCACAAGGTGGAGGCAGAAGAGGCCGTGCACCCTGCAGATCCATAAACCAATGTTTCATACTCTCTAAGACTAATGTGATTTCACTGCATTTTATTTTCTCTTTCAGAAAAGACCCAGATTAATTTATTCTTTAATCTAATTTGATTGACTTTAACTTAATTTGATTTCATTTAATCTGACTTGTTAGTCATTCCCTATTGATAAAGCTACAACTGTACATTAATGCTCTGGGTCCTGATCAGCTGCTTGGGGAGCACAGTGGCTTCAGCTCTCAGCAGCCCTGCTCCAACTCCCCCACCACCCCACCACCCCCTGCTTTCCCTGCCTTTTTCTCCACCCTGGTTCTAGGAGAGAGGGGAGAGTGAATCATGTGACTGTTCTACTTTCTCAGTGCCCCTCACCTGCACTCCTCGCCCTCCAGCAGCTTGCGGTAGGTGGCGATCTCCACGTCCAGGGCCAGCTTCACGTTCATCAGCTCCTGGTAATCCTTCAGGAGCCGGGCCAGGTCCTCCTTGGCTTGTTGCAGGGCGTCTTCCAGGTCAGAGAGTTTGCTCTGTGCATCTTTGAGGGCGTGCTCTCCCTTCTGCTCTGCATCTGCAATGGCTTCTTGCACACTCTTACACTGGGAGAGAAAGAGAAAAGGTGTCTGTTAGTCTGGAGAGGGGAGTCTGCCTGGCAGAGGGGGCGGGGAGCAGATGTGTTTAGGGTGTGAGAAGCCAGACTCAAAGCCCTGGAAGTGTTGGGTCCCCCCTGGAGTTAATGCAAGTCTCAAACCAGGACCTCAGACTTGCTGCCATCTCTGGGGCATCGCCTTCCATGGCCTCTGACTGGACCCTGATGCGTTCCCCATAACGACCCTTACCTCACAGCACAGGGCCAGAGGCCTTGTCCCAGTCTATAGTCACAAATGAATGTGAACCAACCGATGTGCACAGCTTCACAGAACTCCTGCTGCCTCTGGGGTCCCCTCTCTGCCCCACATTATCTCTCCCAAGCTACCATCCATCCCCTGGCCAGCTCCCTGCCGAGGCCACTGCCCCACCGCCTCGCCACCCCACCACTGGCCAGTGCCGAGCACGGAGGGCAGGCTCTGCCTGCAACTCCCACCCCCCACTGGCCAGATGACCCCTTGCCTTATTTGTTTTCACTCCCTTCCGCTCGCAGAGGCAATCCAAAAGCGAGCACAATTCTTTCCCTGCACTAATCCTTACTTAGGAATGTCTCTTAGACCACCGTAAAAATTGTTAGAAACCTTAAATTATGTTACACTCCAGGTGTTTGAGATCAACATATGCTAAATTCAAATTCCTCAGTGTCTCCTCTCTCTCTCTCACACACACACACCCACACACGACCTCCCACCCACCGGAGCCTCACTCGACCCCTGGAGCCACACAGCCCTCGGGGCCATGCCCACCTGCTTCTTCACTTGGGCGATCTCCCCTTGCAGCCTCTGGATCATGCGGTTCAGCTCGCTGATCTCCATCTTGACCTCCTTCAGGCTGTCTCCGTGTTTCCCTGCAGTAACCTGGAGCTCCTCATACTGTATGGAAAGAGGGCAGTGGTGGCTTGAAGGAAGGTTGGCCTGAGCCAAGGTAGGTCTGATGCAGGCTGGATCAACCACGCTGCATTCGAGGGAGGTGGTGGACCATCTCACATCCCCTAAAGGACTTGGTGCCATTGTCAGTTGAGGGCAGTTATGGCACTATGGACACTTGCTTGGGAACGACACCCAACTTCCATTAGACAAAATCACCAGTGATCTCACTGGACACCTTCCGGCCGGGCTGAAGCCCAGCTTGTTACACAGAACTTAGGCTCTCTGTGCTCTCCTTGTACTTGCCTTGCTGTGGTACAGCTCCTCAGCCTCCGCCTTGCTCCTCTGGGCGATCTCCTCGTACTGGGCACGGACCTCGGAGATGATGCTGTCCAGGTCCAGGCTACGGTTGTTGTCCATGGACAGGATGACGTTGGTGTCGGTGACACTCTGCTGCATCTGGGACAGCTCCTGCAACACACAGGAAGGTCTGGCCATGGCTTCCCTGCCCACAGCCATTCCCTTCCCCGGTGTTGGGGACATACAGGTTCTCAGACTAAGCTGGGTGGGATACACTGGGCGGGATTAAAACAAAATAACCACCAATCCCAGGCTTCTGCCAAGGGTGTCCAGAGAATTATGGGAGAGGAGCCTGCATTTCTGAGCCTCCTAGTTTATAGCCTTCATCATTTATGCAGTTTTGTTAAGTTTGATGCCTCCACAAAGAAGCCTGTGGATGACAAATGTCTTAAAATTTACTTCCTGTTTCAGAAGATAGGTGTGCACGTGGGCAGGGAGGGAAGGCCTGCTGCATTTTGATCTCTGAAGTACATTAGACATGGGGATGAGGATGGGACAGGTTTCTTCCTAAGGGGAGCTGGACATTTGAGGACTGGAGGGAGGGAAGTTGTCTCTGTGTTTCCTGAGCCTTCCTTCTTGTGACATCAGAGAAGAAAGTTCATCTCTTCCAAGACCTGCACCACAGAAACCCCCTGATGGCCTGCAGTGATGGCAGGTTGAAGTCAGCCGGTCCACAGACCCCACTCATCCCGCCTTTGCTCCAGTTGGGAAGGACTTCTTTGAAAAGAAGTGTGGGAAGCCTCCTTACCGCATCATAAAGGAATTTAATGAACTCGAGTTCCTGAGTCAGCACATCCGTCTTGGCCTGCAGCTCCACCTTGATCATGTAGACATTGTCCACATCCTGCAGAAAACGTAAGGGGTTTCCTGGTGAAACTCATGCACTGCTCAGTGTGTGGGCCCCTCTTTCTCTCTCTCTCTCTCTCTGACCCTCTCTTCCAACAAGTTCCTGTTGACCGCTCTCCGGCGAGCCTCATCTCCACAGGACCTCATTTAGTCTGGAGTCCACAATGCATCCCTACTGGGGGCTCCATGCCCTTGTTCACTGCTCTAGTTCCCCAAGGCCATCAGAGCCTTAGTGGGACAAGCTTAGTCAACCACTCTCTCCCTCCTGCTTTGCTTGGGACACTGTGTGTTCCCATTGTGGGGAAAATGGTCTCAGTAGCTTTTAACAGTCCTCAAGTCTCCCATCCTGTCTGTCGACCCTACCTCTCCTGAATTTCTCTGGATTTTATACCAAAGCTTCTTCAGGATCTAGGCTGAGAAGCCACACGTCTGCCTTCTAGCTCAACTTTGTCAGCACAACCAACAACATCTGTAAGCAGGCATTCTAAGAGAAGTCTATCCCTTCCTCAGCTCTTTAGAAGAAAACTAAAGGACTTTCTTGTGTTTTCATCTTGCACGGCCCAATATAGGCTTTCAGTAGGTCATTGATAGAAATGTTCTAGCACATCTGCACAGTAGCTCCAGAAGCCTGAGCTGCAGGGACACTTTTGTTTTCAAGAGAACTGGCCACGGACGCACTTCACCACTTTCCCTGGTTATGGCTGTTTTCACTCAGAGTTGTTCCCCAGCCTGTGTGCTTGGACCCAGTGGGCTTCCAAAGCCCCCTCATTCCCACCCTGTCATGACATTCTCTTGCTCACCTTTTTAAGTGTCACAAAATCATTCTCAGCAGCTGTGCGCTTGTTGATTTCATCCTCATACCTGTGGGGACCCGAGGACACGGCTGTTAGATTAGTTCTAGTTTGTTTACTTTTTTCTTTTCCTTTTCCTCCTGGATCCACTCCCAAATTCCCCATTCTCTGAGAATATTCAGCACTCTTTTAACTATCTAAATTGTAACTATGATGTCCCAAATAAGGATGCCTTTCTATAAATTAACTCACAAACATGTGAAAAAACCATGATTGCTAAAGCCCTAAATGTCTTCCTCACAAATAATCAACAGATGAATCATCACCACAACCGCAGTGAGGAGATGCATGGCCTCCTGGGAGAATGACTGGATGGCTATGATCAATATTTATATCCATTTGGTGTTTGCCACCTACTTCTTCTTAAAATCCTCAACAAGATCCTGCATGTTGTTCAGTTCTGAATCTTGTGATGTTCTTTCTGCAGAGAGCGTATCCACATATTTCTTCAGTTTGGCAATGTACATTTGAAAGATGGGCTCCAAGTTGGTGGTACGTGTGCTGACGTCCATTTGCTGTAGCAGCTCCCATTTGGTCCGCAGTACCTGGTTCTGCTGCTCCAGGAACCGCACCTACAGGGTCACCAGAAATGGAGTACATGAGGTCTGGATCGCCCTTCCCACCAGCAGGCCACACTCACCAGAGTCAGTTCTGATCCTGCCTCGGGACATAGAAAGGTCTCCACAGCTTTGTGCTCACAAGCCAGATGCGGGATCCAGCTTGAACTCCCTGCCTCCACACTTGGAAGATTCTACACAATGTTACATTCCCAATGTTACATCTGCATGCTTTCCATGCAGAGAACTCTTTTTTTTACTCCAACCGCCCACTATTTTGTGTGGGGCCGCTCCAAAGACTCCAGGCCATTTCCCTCTCCGATCCTAGTTGAATTCCCGGCAAAAGTCCCTTAATGTCCTGGGCAAACTAAAAATAGGCATCCACTGGCATTGATCCTAAAGGTGCTGAGTGTGAGAGCACCGAAGGGCAGGGCTCCTCGGTCTGAGTTTTACAAGCCTCATAAATTTCTTAGGCAAGTTCAATTGCCCTTGAAATAGGACAAAACCCTATGTAATGCTCAAAAATGACACCAATAAACACTTTATGGGTCACAAAACTGAGAATGTTTCTCTTAAAGGCAGGAATCTCATTCATCCCCAGGCAGATATTTCAGGCTCAGCTTCCCAGAATTCAATAGACTAATAGCCTCTTGGGAAGGAAAGACTATCTCAGAAGATGTGTTACCAATTCCTTCCAAAACCTGCTGCGACGCGGCCTGAACTTCTCCGTCCATTTTACTTGCTTATATCGGTGTTTCCATGATTTTCAGAATTTTCCATAAATATTGCTTATTTTGGCTGAAACCATAAAGCCAAAGGCATCAATAATTCCTAACTGCAGACTATCTCAGAAGACGTAGCCCATGAAGCCAGCACGTTGCCCATTTGGGAAATAAGCCAGGCTAGTTTGACTACACCGGTGACTCCTCTAAGAAATAAATCTGTACTGTTGGCTTGTGAGGTAGCAGTGGACGTAGGACATCCTGAGCTTCAGAAGGAGCCAGCTTCTCATGACTCACCTTGTCGATGAAAGAGGCAAATTTGTTGTTGAGGGTTTTGATCTGCTCCCGCTCCTGAGACTTCACGTTCTGGATCTCTGGGTCAACTTTCACGTTGAGAGGCTGCAGGAGGCTCTGGTTGATGGAGACTTCGTGGATGCCTCCACCAGGGAATCCTCCAGGCCCCATGCCACCAGGACCCCCAAAGCCTCCAAAGCCACCGCCACCTCCAAAGCGGCCTCCGCCAAAGCCACCTCCACCGAAGCTGCCTCCACCGAAGCCGCCTCCACCGAAACCACCTCCTCCAAAGCCGCTGCCGCCACCAAAGCCGCTGCCACCTCCAAAGCCACCTCCTCTGCCACCAAATCCACCACCGGAGCCGAAGCCTCCACCTCCTCCAGCCACACTAATGGAGATGCTCTTGGTGCCTCCAAGACCAACAAGGCTCCGACTGCCAAAGCCGCCTCCACCCAAGCCCCCTCCACCACCGCCATGGCGGCTCAAGCAGGAGAAGCCAGTGCCCGATCTCCGGCTCCTACTGGAGACCACGGCTGAGCCACTGCTGAAGCCCCGGAATCCTCCTCCTCCTCCTCCTCCTCTTCGAGATTTGCACGAGATCTGACAACTCATGATGCCTTTGCCCAGCGAGGAAAAGTGAAGGTTCTGAGACGAGTGAAGGCTGGAGACGCTGCACTGTGACTTGGGAGACTGTCAGGGTCCCCTTTTATACCTGCCAAGTAGGTGTTGATGTGCATGGGCGTGGGCAGACTGATGCATGGGTTTGGTCTGCCTCGAAGCTACGCCAGGTTACTGATTATCAAGCTAATAGCCATTAAAAATCTACTAATCAGCTCCATCCCAAAACTTGCTTCGCCTGCAAACCTCTCCTGTTTATCTGGGCATCTGTCATGCAATTCGATTTTTGTGAAATCATCAAAAGAGGAGATCAGGATATGGGTTTCTCAATCTGAAAAGAGACCTTCTGCAAAATGCTGTTCCCTGCTCTGGACCAACCCAAGGGAGGGCAGCTACCACCGGGCCTGTGCAGGCTTGTCACCCAGAGAGGCTGATGAAAGAGGCAACAGGGTTTAGAGACTGAAGGGGCCCCTTGATAGCAGCCTTCGAGTCCTCGCTTTTCCCTCTGCTCCAGGAAAAGTTTCAACCAGTGCTTTTGTAGAGTACAAATGGAACATGGAGAAGTATCCATATTCTTATAGAAAGAAGTCAGTCAAGGGTGTGTCTAAAGAGTTGTTGTTTTTGACTCTTTCCTATGCCACACCAAGAATGCACAAGAGCCAGGCACTGAAGAGAGGACAGTTTTCTTTTCTGTAACCAGAAGTCCTCATGGCCACCAACTCTGTCATTTCTCGACACAAAAACCCAGAAGTTGAGGGGCTTATGGAAAACGTCTCTTTTCCTGGGTCTGTCTGACTCTGGGCACCCAACAAAAGGTTGCAGTCAAAAGCTTTACATAGCTCCAAGGTCCAACTGTATTTTGATTTAACAAGTTGGTAACCACGTATTGTCAGTTGATTCTGCTGGGCAGCCCAGAAGCCCAACACCTCAATGAGCACCAGGGATGGATGAATATCAGAAAGCCCATCAAGCCACCAAATGCACGGAGCATCCACTCCTAAACTCAATCACAGTCCTTCCTTTGCCTGTGTGGCCGGACACATGAATTGAACGTCCATCTGGATTTGAGTCCCAGTTTGTGATTTCCTGGCTCTGTGAATTATACGATGTGGCTCTGTACTCTTAGCTAGCAAATGGAAAATTCACACCAGGTGTTCTGAAGTTAGGTATCACTATTGTTTTGGGTGAAGCAAAGATATCTCCACTTATCTTGTGCTAAGACGATGCATTCCACCTAGGCCCCATGAGCCACAGAACTAGGATTTCCCAGGTCCCAACACAAGTTTCGAGTTTAAGTCTCAGTGTCATTGTACTTTAGTTCAATGATACTGGATAATTCATAATCATCAAGCCTCAGTTTCCTCATTTATAAAAAGAATTATTTGTCTGTTGTAAAAACAGAACAGGTCATATACACGCAGTTCCTAGTTAATATCAGAAACTCAAGAAGTATTATTTCCCTTCTCATATTCCCTCCACCCAAATCTCCAATCCTGTGTCTTCACTACACAGCCAGAGTGAGAAATGAGGGTGAGGAACAGGGAGCTGGCTCTTCATGATACTTGACGTGCAGTAAGAGTACTGAAGGAAGCAAAACCATGCATCTCCTTGATCCCCCCCCGCCCCCGCCCAATTTGGCTTATATAATCATAATCATGCAAATAAGTCCTAAGGCTAAAAGCTTTAGAGAGAACCCCAAACCCAAGTCACATGCATCATTATGTATGGATATCTGAGCAACACCATGACCATGCCCAGACCATGACCAGGCCATGCCAGCTTCAGGAGCAGCTTGATCCATCTGTGAAGGAAAGGGGTGAACATTTATGGAGCATCTGTTAGGCTGGTGCCGGGCACATAATCTGCATGTTTTGCTGCTCCATGGCTCTGCTTTCACATCGAGTCTTCCTTCCCATTCTCTCCACTTTCTAGACTCATCTGAAAGTCAAGTGTAAGAGTCGCCCTCTTCTCTTGAGATGTGGAGGGCAGAATTAATGCAACTTAAATGTTATGTAACATCTTATTTCCATATCTTTACCTTTTGCATAATCTCCACGTGCTTAAATATTGTATAACATTTTATTTCCATATTTTTAAACTTCACTTCAACATGCTTGTCGAGACAACATGTTCCGCATTCTTTAAGGGAATGAAATGGGAGTTAAGACTCAGTTCTAGCCATGATTTTTGCCGCTGACCTCCACTGTGGTCCTCAATTTCTTCACCTATAAAATGGGGACATTGGGGCACCTCGGTAGCTTGTCAGTTAAGCATCTGAAATCTTGATTTCAGCTTAGGTCATGATCTCATGGTTCATGACTTTGAGCTCCGTGATGGGCTCCATGCTGTCAGCAAGTCATACCTGCTTGGGATTCTCTCTCTCTTTCTGTCTCTCTGCTTCCCCTGCTTGTATTTACACACACACTCTCACTCTCTCTTTCTCTCTAAATAAATAAATAAATAAATAAATAAGCAAACAAACAAACATTAAAAAAAAATAAAATGGGAACATTTACGCTGGATCCCCACTGTCCCATAAGGATATTGACCTGCTGGTGTCATGGGTCTCTGATAACAGAACAGGGTTCCTATAGGACAAAATCCTTCTTTCAACAAGCTTCCAGCAAGCCCAGACCCCTAAATGTTTTTCCTTGCCACATTTCAAAAGCATCTAACTTGGCCAATAGAGGAGAAAAACAAGCCCCATGTGAAGCAAACTGTTCAGCCAGTGAGACATACATATAGATGCTGACTTCAGATTCTCCTGGTAGAAATGAATTCCCCCGCCCCACACTCCCTTGGCAGCGTGTGTCCCTCCCTCCCAGCCTTTCATGGTCCTCCTTGTGTTGTAATGAGCCATGTCCCTGGACCCCTGCAAGGTAGAGCCAGGCTCACATTTATCTTTACCCCAAACCCCCAACCCGTCAGCATAGGGCAGTCACTCAGAGAATAAGCCTAGGATCCAAAAATCATTTTAGGGTTTGGAATTGCCAGTCTTCTCTGACATGGGAATGTGATACTAGCAGTGTTTGAGTTTTCACTGCCTTCCATGCACCTGTTCCCTAAAGATCCCACCTGGACCTTGTCTCACGTTTCTGACTCACCTCCATCAGGGAGGGGCTTCCCTCCACAGGCCAGCCAGGTTAGTCTCCCCTTCTAAGGACTCAAAGCATCCCTGAACAAAGCTGCCGAAACCAAGTGTTTGGATTTCAAAAACAAAAACACAACAATCAAACAACAAACCCTCCTCTTCCTGCTCCTGCTGCTGAGTTCAAGGTGCTCTAGGGGCTAACAGCCATACGGAGCTCAATAACATCAAGTTCAGGAAACATATAGGTCAGAAAGAAGCCATCTACAGGCCAGCCTGCAGCTGCAGCGGATACCTCATCCGCATCCCCTTCCTGGCTGCTAAGCCGGGCACACTCCATCAAGAGTGCATAGACGCTTCTCCAAAGAGCTCTCTGGTGGCTCCCAGGCCCAAGGGAAGGTAGGACCGAAGGCTTACAGCAGGCTCCCAACATGAGCCGCCGCTTGCTCAGTATCCTTCCCCCCCTCCCCCACCCAGGGCCCTTCATTGTCAATGATTATCTTAACACTGTTCACTCAGTCTCTAGCCCCAGGACCATCCATTGCAGCACGGGAGCCCATCTTTCTTACCCGATGTGTCCGGTTTCGTTTTGCTTTTTGACTCTTTTTTTTTTTTTCACCACGAACACTACAGCTATTGATTCTAAGGTGTCCTAGATAAACTGGTCATCACTGAGAAGCAGGACTGGTGAACACCCAGGCACCCACAACACCCCACTGTACAGACTCCATTTTGGAATGCAGAGTCTCTGCAACATACTATGTAATCGGCATATCGGGAGATCGGGGTGTGCCCTCTGCTCAGAAACAGCACAGACCCCAGAAACAGAAACGAGGTGAGGGCAGGAACACTGCCCAGGACACAGCAGGGCCTTGACACATGTTGGTTGAACCAATGAAGCAATCCAGCAATCAAGAAATGAAGCCTCCAGCGCCTTGCCTGACACACAACAGACACTCAACGATGTCACCTCCTTTCTCACTGCTGTTGCTATAGATATCACATAGAGTTCTAATTTTCCAATTGAGATTTTTTTTTAATTTTTTAAAAATATTTACTTATTTTTGAAAGAGAGAATGCATGTGGAAGAGGGGCAGAGAGAGAGGGAGACACAGAATCTGAAGCAGGCTCCAGGCTCTGAGCTGTCAGCACAGAGCCCGACGTGGGGCTCGAGCCCACAAACCATGAGATCATGACCTGAGCTGAAGTTGGACACTTAATGGACTAAGCCACCCAGGCATCCTTCAAACTCTTCTTTAAAAACCTTTCAAACCTTGGGATGCCTGGGTGGCCCAGTCAGTTGAGCTTCTGACTCAATCTCAGGGTTGTGAATTCAGGCCCCTCGTTGGACTCTGCACTAGACATGAAGCCTACTTAAAAAAAAAAAAAAAAGAAAAGAAAAGAAAATGAAATCACTGCTAATGAAACAGTAAATGTTTAATAGGACTAGTATCATCATTCTTTCTGGATGCATTACATTCATGACATGAATTATATTTTATGAGCCAGAGGCACTCTCCATAGCATGTCAGATGTTTAAAGCCAGCATATTTGTTTCTATTTAGCAGTACTTTTATAAAGGAAGCTTTGTGATAAACTGGGAAGAGCATATTTAGTCGTAAAGGTCAAGTCCCCCTGCCAGAAAGTAACTGTGTGACCTTGGCATGTCACCCCTCTTGCCAGGCTTACCCTTCCTGTGGACTGAGGGGCTTGGAAACCAACAGGAATGGGAAGAATGTTGGAGGTGGAGTCAGGGGATCTACATCGCCTTTGCAGCCCTGTGACAGACTGACTCTAGAACCTAAGGGTGGCCCTCAGCCTTCTTAGCCTTGGTTTTCTCATCTGCAAAATGGAGGCATTGAAAAGCAGGCCTGGAACTGCTAGGAATTTACCCAAGGGATACAGA